TAGATGACAATCCTTGAAGTATAAAATTGTCCACAGAGGTTCCCGTTTTGGTATGGCCCCATATAACGGCCTCATTTACTTTATGGTTTTTTGTCTTACTGGTATATGAATTTTAAAGTGAAACTTGAATTCAGATACTTTTTTTACAGCGAATATTTAAAGGTCCTTACGAAGTTTGGTCCTTACTATTATTTTGAAATTTGATTCCTTTAAAAAAATGTTCTCTATTTTTCCCGATTTTAAATTTTTTAGCAATTTTGAAAAAGTAATTAACTTTGGTTTGACCACGTTAAATTATTTTGACATCATCTATTCAGGTCCGCCACTCCATAATTTTCATCGCTTTCTACTACCCAAAAAGACTACACATCATATTAGAATTAAAAAAAAAACATTTCAAATGTACATTCCGAAATAGTAAGTCAAAATGAAAAAAAAAACATGCAAAATAAAACATTACTATTGTACACTTGAAAAGTCAAAATGAAAATTTGCAAATTTCAGATCATTAAGCTCGTCTCGAAAGAGAAAACAAACAATAAATTAGAAAATTTTAATATTTCACATTTTTACGCGATTTCTTTGGATTTTATCCTTTTCTGCCAAGAGACAATTCCGAATTTGTGTGAATCGTTAAAATCAGATCAGCGGTTCTTGAGTTATATACTACTAACACAACTTCCTTATATATATATATATATATATATATATATATATATATATATATATATATATATATATATATATATACATATATATATATATATATATATATATATATATATATATATATATATATATATATATATATATATATATATATCAGTATCTCGTGTAATATTCAAACCGATATCTTCATTATCTGGCAAATATAAAGACTTTAGATAAATCAAGATAGTGGGCCTTAAAGAAGGCGTGGCCAATATTTTTTTTCTTTAAAAACCTAACTCGGGGTATGACGAACGTTTGTACAAAAATTATGCAAATCGGTCCAGCCGTTTTCAACTGATTCCGTTACCAACAAACAACAATTGATTTTTATACATAGATATATATATTATATATAGATATTACAGATCGATTAAAAATTATATATGTCTTCATATTATAATACACACATTAAAATCACAGCTTAATTATTAGAGTAGTAAAGGGTTCTGCAACATTTTCTACCCAAAAGGTATGCCTCATGGTACAATTACTAAGGTAATCTCATGCTATCACAAGATTAGTTTTTTTTTATTTTATGTCGCTTCATTGTCAAATTTATATTTTGTAGTTCTTCCTTGAATATGGGCGTACAGCTGGGAAGAATTCTGCATTTATTTTAGACCAAATATTTTGCTAATTTCACGCCTTTTAGAGGATATAAAAGTCAAGGTAGGATATAATCTAAAACAGAAAAATAAAATATTAGTCTAATAAGTAGGACTTAATTATGGAATGTATGTATTTGGTTTCGCTTAGGACAAGTATGAAGACAATACCGTACCTCACCTTCTACAATACTGGTAAAAGATTACCATCCCTAATTTTTATTATACCTTCCACCATAGTATGAAGGGTATATTAAGTTTGTCATTCTGTTTGTAACACCTTGAAATATACATTTAAGACCCCACAAAGTACATATATTCTTTATCAGCATACAATTCAATGTCGATTGCATAAAAGCAATGTCCGTCTATTCGTCTGTGGAAATCACTCGAGCTGCTGAACGATATGAAGTAAGTTGATAAAAATTTACTCAAATGTGTATTATGTCTGCAGGACTTTTGGTATTGAAAATGGGCCATGTAGATCCACGTCTTCGTATAGCCCCCATAGAACGGTTAAGCGACTTTATTCACCGCAATTGTTTCAAATTTGGTGTTTGAAGTCCGTAATGGATACTACAGCCTATGACAGAAAATTGCCTGTACAGATTCACGTCTTCGTATAGCCCCCATATAAAGTACCTCCTGATATTCGGTATTTTGATGATTTTAGCGACATTATTCACCAGTATTTTTTTTCTAATTTGGCATTTGAAGTTCGTAATGGATACTACAGCCTATGTTAGAAAATTGTCTTGCTGCTCCACTTTTTATAACCCCCATGATTTTAGCTACATTTGAAACAGACTTATTTTTTAAATTTTCGCATTTAAATATTGTAACAGCTTAACCTAATACACGGTTACATTCGGTATTATTAAGATTTTAACAAAATTTTTAACGGATTTGTCTTTTTTTTTTTTTTTTTGAAAATTGCCAAATTTGTTCCAAATGGCGGAGGGTATTCAAAGTTTGGCCCGGACGAACTTACAGCTTTTTTACTTGTTCGAATTGGCATTTAATTCCTTACAAGAAATTGTCAGCTTGAGTTTTCGTTTAAGTACAGAAGAAGACCTTGGAAACCTTTTCCAGATGTTAGTATTAGAGATTTGATCCCTAAAAGCAACGTTCGAAAATAAACAGTACACTAACATAGTGTACTGTACCGGTGCAGTACCACTAAAAAAATTAGCGGTAGTGTACCGGAGTCGGAGCACTAAAAAACGTAGTGTTCCGCAATCGGAGCACTAAACAAGTAAAAAAACATTAAGTTCGGCCGGGCCAAACTTTGAATACCCTCCACCTTAGGGTAAAAGAAACATTAGAAGAAATGTGGCAAAAACCATTAAAATGCCGAATATCGGGATGTACCGTTATATGGGGGCTATACCAAAACGTGGACCTATAATTACAATGTTTCGCCACACGAACTAGGACCCATTATGACCCACAAATACCAATTTTTAGACAAGTCAGTGAAAAAATGTGGCAAAAACCATCAAAATACCGAATATCGGGAGGTACCGTTATATGGGGGCTATACCAAATCATTGACTCATACATGCAATGTTTCGCCACCGAAGCTAGAACCCATTATTACCAACAAATACCAATTTTCAGACAAATCCGTGAAAAAAGGTTGCAAAAACCATCAAATTACCGAATATCGGGAGGTACCGTTGTATGGGGGCTATACCAAATCATGGACCCATACATACAATGTTTCGCCACCGGAGCTGGAATCCATTATGACTCACAAATACACAATTTTTAGACAAATCCGTGAAAAAATGTGGCAAAAAAACTGAAATACCGAATATCGGGAGGTACCTTTATATGGGGGCTATACCACAACGTGGACCTATACATGCAATGTTTTGCCACACGTTCAGGAACCCGTTATGACCTACAAATACCAATTTCCAGACAAATCCGTGAAAAATGTGGCATAAATCATCAAAATACCGAATATCGGGAGGTACCGTTATATGGGGACTATACCAGAACGTGGACCTATAATTACAATGTTTCGCCACACGAACTAGGACCCATTATGACCCACAAATACCAATTTTTAGACAAATCAGTGAAAAAATGTGGCAATAACCATCAAAATACCGAATATCGGGAGGTACCGTTATATGGGGGCTATACCAAAACGTGGACCTATAATTACAATGTTTCGCCACACGAACTAGGACCCATTATGACCCACAAATACCAATTTTTAGACAAATCAGTGAAAAAATGTGGCAAAAACCATCAAAATACCGAATATCGGGAGGTACCGTTATATGGGGACTATACCAGAACGTGGACCAATATATCTCATTTTCAATACCTGCCATCCTAGACACAATGCAAACTGCTAAATTTTGGCGCTCTACGTCAAATAATGTGGGCTGTATCGTGATTTCAACAGACAGACAGACGGACATCGTTAAATCGACTTAGAATTTTATGCTGATTATGAATATATATACTTTATGGGGTCTAAGACGAATATTTAAGGATGTTACAAACGGAATGGCAAAGTTAATATACCCTCCTTTCCAAGGTAGAGGGTATAAAAATCGTAGTGTACCACATGCACCAAATACACAATTTTTAGACAAATCCGTGAAAAAATGTGGCAAAAAAACTGAAATACCGAATATCGGGAGGTACCTTTATATGGGGGCTATACCACAACGTGGACCTATACATGCAATGTTTTGCCACACGTTCAGGAACCCGTTATGACCTACAAATACCAATTTCCAGACAAATCCGTGAAAAATGTGGCATAAATCATCAAAATACCGAATATCGGGAGGTACCGTTATATGGGGACTATACCAGAACGTGGACCTATAATTACAATGTTTCGCCACACGAACTAGGACCCATTATGACCCACAAATACCAATTTTTAGACAAATCAGTGAAAAAATGTGGCAATAACCATCAAAATACCGAATATCGGGAGGTACCGTTATATGGGGGCTATACCAAAACGTGGACCTATAATTACAATGTTTCGCCACACGAACTAGGACCCATTATGACCCACAAATACCAATTTTTAGACAAATCAGTGAAAAAATGTGGCAAAAACCATCAAAATACCGAATATCGGGAGGTACCGTTATATGGGGACTATACCAGAACGTGGACCAATATATCTCATTTTCAATACCTGCCATCCTAGACACAATGCAAACTGCTAAATTTTGGCGCTCTACGTCAAATAATGTGGGCTGTATCGTGATTTCAACAGACAGACAGACGGACATCGTTAAATCGACTTAGAATTTTATGCTGATTATGAATATATATACTTTATGGGGTCTAAGACGAATATTTAAGGATGTTACAAACGGAATGGCAAAGTTAATATACCCTCCTTTCCAAGGTAGAGGGTATAAAAATCGTAGTGTACCACATGCACCACATCAAAAAAAATGTACTGGCATCAATATGCTTTTTTATGATTTGGGAAAATATTATTAAATGTTTGATTTTTTAGTATATGGCATTGTAAATTAATAAAATGATTAAAATAAAAGAAATTAAAGATAATCCGAGTTTGCTAAGTTACACAAAATTCGATGTTAGTATCACTCTTTGTATAAGTGAAAATTAAAGAATAAATAAAACAACGTACTGTTATATGTCAATGAAACATACTTAATACTGATTTATTTATAGGCATTTAATTGTTATTACATAAATGTATTTTTTTAATAAAATTGAATTAATGAAACAAGTTAAATATAATATACATAATATAAATAGAAAATAAAAAAGAAAATGTAATAAACTAAAAATATAAGTGCACCAGTAAGAACTTTAATCAGATCCCAACTGGTAATTAAAAATCCCATTGGCTTTTACCATTAATATATGCTCTAAATTTAACGGTGACAATCGATTGCGCTGTCGATTCCACGCTTACTTGTGTTGATCGTATCACCAGTAAAATATTAGCAATGCCACTAATAATGTTTGGAGAATCCCAATGTTCTAAAACATTTGCATTTAGTGGCAATCTAGATTTTCTTTCATAAGTGGATAGATCGGATTCAAAATGATCAATGTTTGAAGAACTCTGTGTAGGCGTGGTAGGATCTATAGTTTGCAGGTAATCGGAAAAGGATTTCGGGGTACATACATTACTTGTTGATGGAGTTTCATCCAGTATTGTGCAGGCCGTATTGTCTGTTGTAGAATCTGAAGAAATAAGGGTAATAGTTAAAAACATATGTATGTATTTTTGGTATTAATGTAGCAAACGTACCTTCTTTTGAGTATATTCGCTTATGTAACGATACTATGTACATCTGCGCTCTAGCTTTCTGTTCGCTTGTCATACAGACTTTAATACGTGGATCCAAATACACGGCTGCGTTAAAAAATACGTTTTCAAAAAGTTTATCCATTCTTGTCTTCAATGAATCTTTCAGTATCACTTTCACTTCGGTATTTGGTAAAGCATCTATTTGGAATGTAATATCCATTATTACAATATATAGTTCGCTATAACACAGCTGTTCAGTTTGTAGTTTCATTGTAGCTGTGTAAATAGGTTTAAATATTCCAACAAATTCACTTGCGAAAGGCCAGTAAGCAGAACTAATGAATAATTTCGAATTATCCTTGCTTAATGTAGTTACAACTTCTCTTATTTCCAGCAGTCTTTCAATGATATTGTATGTTGAATTCCATCTTGTTATACAGTCAATTATAGGTTTCTTGTGGAGCCCATTTTTAAAAATACTCATATACGTTTTACTTCGATGTTTTTTCACTACGAGTCTTAGGTTTTCAGTTTTTTCTTTTATTGTAGGCTGTTTTAGAACATTATATATATATATATATCAAAGTCGATTGACTCAATTTCATAAATCGATATTTCACAATCAACTTCTTCTTCGCTATCCTGAGATTCTTCTTCCATAAGCATTTGTAACTCCGAATTCAGACTTTTACCGTTTTTAACATGTTAGATCCATTGTCGATTGTAATGGTAAGAATGTTGCGTATATCAAAACCATATTCTTTTAGAACTTCCAATATAATAGATTTTATATATTCACCGGTATGACTTGATTTCAGCTCTTTTACTGCCAATGTTTTAACAATACATTTACCATTTTTGATGTATTGAATATTTATACCGAGCATGCTCAAATCCCACCTGGTTGCTATATCAATCTTAAGAGAAAACAATGTCCCTTTTAAATCATTAGATATTTCCGTTTTAATATTTGTGGAAAATGCGATAATTCGTTCCATTATATTATGCTCATTGACTGTCATTCCGAGCAAACTTAAAACTGGTTCCATAAGAATTTTGAAGGTCGTATCTTCGGCCATGCGCAGAGGACATCCATTTTTGGTGAATAGTTCCACTTTTGCTAGTTCGATGTTCCTCGGATTTACATTTCTTCGCAGTAATACTTAGTAATTTCATTGCACGTTTTTGTTCAATATAGTTTGCATATTGCTCAGGATGTAATCTCTTTAAATGTCTTTCTATATTTCCGGAATGTACACTTACAATCTTGTTCTTACAACTTTGCAAATTACACACTAATTCGTTTGATTCATTTGTATTTAACATATCTAAAATAATAATATTTTTGGTCGCGGCATTTTTGTAATTATTTGCTGAACGTTTGAGAAGAACTTAACAGCAGGATATCGGCTTTTTTGCATATATTGTAACAAATATTGTTCTTAACAAGTAAAAAACATTAAGTTCGGCCGGGCCAAACTTTTAATACCCTCCACCATAGGGTAAACGAAACATTAGAAGAAATGTGGCAAAAACCATTGAAATGCCGAATATCGGGAGGTACCGTTATATGGGGGCTACACCAAAACGTGGACCTATAATTACAATGTTCCGCCACACGAACTAGGACCCATTATGACCCACAAATACCAATTTTTAGACAAATCCGTGAATAAATGTGGCAAAAAAACTAAAATACCGAATATTGGGAGGTACCGTTATATGGGGGCTATACCAAATCATGGACCCATACATGCAATGTTTCGCCACCGGAGCTGGAAACCATTATGACCCACAAATACCAATTTTTAGACAAATCCGTGAATAAATGTGGCAAAAAAACTAAAATACCGAATATTGGGAGGTACCTTTATATGGGGCCTATACCACAACGTGGACCTTTACATGCAATGTTTTGCCACACGCTCAGGGACACGTTATGACCTACAAATACCAATTTCCAGACAAATCCTTAAAAAAATGTGGCATAAATCATCAAAATACCGAATATCGGGAGGTACCGTTTTATGGGGACTAGACAGACGGAAATCGTTAAATCGACTTAGAATTTTATGCTGATTATGAATATATATACTTTATGGGGTCTAAGACGAATATTTAAGGATGTTACAAACAGAATGACAATGTTAATATACCCTCCTTTCCAAGGTGGAGGGTATAAAAATAATAAGACTACCTGTACTCCGATGCGAAATTGTGACAAACTATATTCTGGATATCAGCACATATTTTGATGTGGTACCTGTGCGATGTTTGGTTTTATTTAAAACTATCTGGCCCGGTCCGCGTTGCCGGCCCGTAGTTTTTGTCTATTATACATATTTGTCAAAGCATAATTATTCACAGATATGACTGATATAAGTGTTCACGTACTGGTCGATTAAAAGTGTTTTAAAATACCTGTACCCATATTTAAGCCGTAAGCTTCAATATTTAAACCATCCCGTGTATGGGATCAAATTAATTTTTGGTATAAAAGATCGTAGCACAATTTTCCAGTCAAAAGAGCAGTAATTTGCAATTTACTGTATTTTGTACGCCTCATAATGTATGTATATATATATATATATATATATATATATATATATATATATATATATATATATATATTTATATTTATATATATACTAGCTGAACCCGGTGCGCTTCGCTACCCCTTTCGATTTTATATGCATTCAAAATTTTATTTACGAATATATGTTGGTTAAAAAAAAAATTAAAAATTAAAAAAAAAATTATTGCACTACTTTAATGCGTAAATAACCATAACTATAACTTTAATGCGGGGTTGTCCTTCGGATTTATTTATTTCATAGCAAATACCAAGTTGAAGTTGAGTGGCATTTCTATTGCAATTAGTGAATTCGAGACAGCAACATACTTCGCCGTAATAAGCGTATTTTAAATCAATTGTTGTGTTGTTTTTAGTGTTAGCCTAAGGCGTTGTGGGTCAATGGTTCTTATTAAAATCATATCCCAATCTGATCCGATGTAAATATAATTTTAAAAAAATTACTTTTACACCACACTCCGCCACACACTTTCATATTTCATTGAAATTGGTGCGTCAAATATGTGAAATCGGCCGATAATATATATATGGGAGCTATATCCAAATCTTAACTAATTTCCAATTAATTTGTCACATTTATTATTATAACCAAATTGCGCCACACATTCTGAATTTCATTGGTATCGGTCATATATATCATGTTTGGTGCATAACATGTATGAAATCGGCCGAAATATATATGGTAGCTACATCCAAACCTCAACTGATTTCAATATAATTTGGCAATTTTTTCTGGTGCCAGATTTTGTCTCTCTCGCTTTGGGTGCATCAAATATGTGAAATCGGCTGAGTATATATATGGGAGCTATAATCAAATCTGAGCGTATTTGAATATAATTTGTCAAATTTATTTTTGTACCAAATTTAGCCACTCATGCCGAATTTCATTGGAATCGGAAATACGTATCGTGTTTTGTGCATCAAATATGTGAAATCGCCGGAAAACATATATGGCAGCTATATCCAAATCTGAACCGATTTTAATATAATTTGACTAATTTATTTTCTAATCAAAATCCCGTTACATATTCCAAATTTCTTTGGAATCGAACATACATATCGTGTATGGTGCATAAAATAATAATAATTCATTTTGGCTCCCAATTTCGTTACTTATTTTAAATTTCATTACAATTGGAAATACATGTCGTGTTTGGTCCACTAAATACATGAAATCGGTCGAAAATATATATGAGAGCTATATTCAAATCTGAACCGATTTTAATATAATTCGACAAATGTATATTTGTTTTAATTTCCGCTACACATTACAAATTTCATTGAAATTAGAGATACATAGCGTGTTTGGTGCATCAAATACATGAAATCGGTCGAAAATATATATGGGAGCTATATCCAAATCTGAACCGATTTCAATTTAATTTGCCAAATTCATTTTGGCTCCCAATTCCGTTACTTATTTTAAATTTCATTACAATTGGAAATACATGTCGTGTTTGGTCCACTAAATACATGAAATCGGCCGAAAATATATATGGGAGCTATATCCAAATCTGAACCGATTTCAATATAATTTGACAAATTTTTTTTCGGATTAAATCCCGTCACACATTCCAAATATCATTGGAATCGAACATTCATATTGTGTTTGAGGCATCAAATGCACGAAATCCGTCGAAAATATATATGGGAGCTATATCAAAATCTGAACCGATTACAATATAATTTGGCAAACTTATTTTTGTTCCAAATTCCTTTACGTATCTTCAACCAATCAATAGATATGTGCATATAAAATCTAAATTTTTGGGAGGTACCTCCGATTCTGATGCTATATCTCCAGTTCCAAGTGGAAATTCAAAAATGTATAAAGCCTATGTTACTTTCAGGCGATGTTGCAGTATATATGGAAATTTTCAGGAAAATCAAACATACAAACATTTTCCTCTTTTATATACAGTGGTGGCCATATCATATGCAACTGAAATCTAACCTTTACCAAAAACCGTGAAAAATTTTTCTGAAAACAAAATTATGCAATTATTTTTTTAAATATTATTTTTATTGCTTGTAGTTTAAGAAAAAAACATATACTCCATAGATATTCAATTCATTTATAAAAAAAAAATTAGAAAAAGATATTCAGTCTTATTATGAAGTGGCCAAAACATATGCAACTAATTAAATCGAGCTCAGTAAAGTGCAAATAAAGTTAATATTTTGTTGCAAATCCGTTGTTGTCGATTACAGCCTGACATCTTCGAGGCATTGACGCTATAAGATTGTCAATGACGCTTTTTGGGATTGATTTCCAGGCATCTTCCAGCCGGCAAAATAAAACATCTAAACTTGTACAATTTTCTCGATCAATTTTTTTGTTTACGATTTCCCACAGGTTCTCTATTGGGTTTAAATCTGGGGATTGGGGTGGCCATTCCATTACCGTAACTCTATTATCGGCAAACCACGATTTGACCACCTTCGAAGCGTGTTTGGGGTCGTTGTCCTGTTGAAAGACCCACCGCAATGGCATATTATATTCTGCGAATGGGAGCATTACCCTTTGCAATATGTCTTTATACATAAATCTATCCATAAAACCAGCAATTCTATGTAGGGGGCCAACTCCAGCACCAGAAAAACAACCCCACACCATTATATTGCCCCCTCCATGCTTGACCGTTTTTTTACAGTAACGTGCTTCGAGTCGTTTTCCTTCTGGTCGCCTTACATAGCACATGCCATCGCTACCAATGATGTTAAATTTGGACTCATCACTAAATAATATAGTTCTCCATTTACTCTCTGTCCAATTTATATGAGCTTTAGCAAATTCCAAACGCTTTTTCTGGTTTCGCTTCGATATCAGTGGTTTTTTTGCAGGACGTCTTGCGCAGAGGGAGGCTTGTAAAAGTCTTCTACGGATGGTGCGAGCAGAAACTGGCAACTGAAATCTTTCCACTATCTTAGAGGAAGATATAAATGGGTCTTTTTTCACGTGTCTGATTATTAATTTGTCCGTCCGATCGCTTGTTTTTCGACTTCGACCACCACGGTGTATAACAGAGACTTGTGATTTTTTTTTGTAATTATTAATGATGCGCGATATGGAGCTTTTATGAACGGTATATTTCTCGGCAATACATTTCTGTGATAATCCAGAAGAATACGCAGTCACAATTCGTTGTCTGAGCTCAAATCCAAATTTATCGCGTGCCATTTTTGACCAAACACTATTGTAGCTTTGTGAAAAAACAACGCAATAAAAATGTGAAGGTAGCTTTAAATCTCTTTACGCAGTGTCTCTAGCTAATAATAAGAAGAACAATAGAACAAAGGAAATTGTAAAAATGCCGTTATTTAAACCAAATATATAAAGTTGCATATGTTTTGACCACACCAAATTTCATATTTGTCAACAAAACACCTGTGAACATAGAGATATAAACAAAAGCTGCACATTTTGATAATAATTTGAAATCGTAAGAACGTATTGACTATAATTAACCCATCTTTATATACTTCGTTGTGAAATTTACAAATTTATATAGCCTTTTAACGTAGATGAATCTTAGTTGCATATGATATGGCCACCACTGTATATATATATATATATATATATATATATATGTGTATATATATATATATATATATATATATATATATATATATATATATATATATATATATATATATATATATGGAATCAGTTGAAAACGGCTGGACCGATTTGCATAATTTTTTTTACAAACGTTCGTCATACCCCAAGTTAGGTCTTTAAAGAAAAAATATTGACCACGCCTCCTTTAAGTCCACTATTTCGATTTTTCTAAAATCCTTATATTT